GTGTGTGTGTGGGTGGGTGGGTGGGTGGGTGGCGGAAGATTCACTATCGTTTTGCACATTTCGCGAGTAGTGGAGCTAGGCCCAATAAATGCACTTCATTCCTGCCTTTCACTGTCACACAGTAATAGAAACTATACTATTCGATGGCATGTGGGCCGAGGGCCCGGCCCTTCTGGAAAGATCCTGGTCTGGCCTACCCCGCCCTTCTGGAAAGTTCCCGTTCTGGCCTACCCAACCCCAACAAATCTGAACGTTTCGCTATGTTTTTCCCTTGGGCCCAGCCCCACACCCCACCAGTTTCCCAACAGTGGCAGCCGGGCCTCACGGGAGCGTCGCGCGAGATGCAGTGAGTATATAGAGGATAGACATAGATATAGATATAGGAAAAACAAAAAAGAAGTCCAGAAAGAGCCTGAGTATGGTTTAAACTGCTTCCAAAAAATAGGGGAAACGGTTACAAGGGCTGAGGCACTGAGAAAGAGCCTACCGTCTTCACCCGAATAGAACGCCCGGTCATTATAGCTGTATTTGATGCTACTTTCAGTCTAAATACACCGATAAAGACCGGACGTTCTATTCGGGTGAAGACGGTAGGGATCAGCCTAGGACCCACAAAAAGTTTCAAGAGCTGAAGCACTCAGAAAGAGCCGAAGGATCTGATGAAGTCCAAAAAGAGCCTAAGCATGTTTCAGTTTTAAGAGCTGAGGCACTGGAAGCACTTCCATTTCAAAGCCAGTGAATCCTATCCCTGAAAAAGAAAAAGAAAAAGAAAAAGAAAAGAAACAGATTTCAAAATCCCCGTCATCCTCCAAGTTCTCAAATGCCTGCCCCGGTCAGAATGTCGTCAGGCGAATTCTTCTGAGCGCAGTCCAAGGGGCTCGTTCCACTACCCTTGACTTGAGAAAAATCTAAAGGGCGTCCCTACAGCCGCCCTTGAGCCTGCTCGTCATTAAAAAATCCTAGACTTCGTTCTCATTCCACTACACCCTACAGTTCGCACTCGGAAAACGAGTAGGAACATGTGTGGCAGCGGCTACTTCACGTGGTTCACCACGCAGGTCCGTCATTGGCCTAGGGCAACTGTAGTCAGGGGGAAGAAAAAAAAAAAACAAAAAAAAACTCCCTAAGGAAATCGAGTCACCGCTGGGAGGTGACTCAAAAATTAGAGCGGTTTGCCTGGTCGCCCCACAGCCGCCCTTCACTTTCAGATCGAGATTTATTTACGGCGGGAACGTTAATCACTTTTCAATCGTGATTAGTGCATCTCAAGGGCGTAGTGGAACAGCGCCGCCCTTGAGATTTTCTCAAGTCGAGGTGCCTGGTCGCCCCACAGCCGCCCTTCACTTTCAGATCGAGATTATTTACGGCGGGAACACTAATCACTTTTCAATCGTGATTAGTGCATCTCAAGGGCGTTCCACGAGGTGCCTGGTCGCCCCACAGCCACCCTTCACTTTCAAATCGAGATTTATTTACGGCGGGACCGTTAATCACTTTTCAATCGTGATTAGTGCATCTCAAGGGCGTAGTGGAATGGCGCCGCCCTTGAAATTTTCTCAAGTCAAGGGTAGTGGAACGAGCCCCTAAGGAAATCACATGAACCGGCCGTTTAAGTCTTGATGGGCCTAGCTCAGTTGGTACACCTACGAACTGTTGAAATACAGACAAAAGCTCGAGACCGGATGCAATCAGATGAACAGAAAAAAAATTGATTCTGAATTACCTGTGGCCGGTTCGTTCAATGCTGATATCTCAAGGCCATCGCCTCTTTTTTGACAAAAAGAGAGGCAAAAGGAGCAAAACAGGCTTGCTGGCTAATCACATCTTCCGAAGTTTGCCACATAGCTAACGCCGGTCTTGCACATCTATAAACAGAACCCCAGCGAACCCATTAAACAACAAGGAACACTCTCATCAAGTTCACATGATAAATCAAGAGAAGGAGAGGTTGCTATTCCATTATTGGGTATTGGAGAACAATGCACAGCCACACATGTCACAGGTCCGATCAAAAGAACACTGGGCGGGCATGCTGAGTCCCGGTAGGCGGCACTGTATGCTGTTGTGTGTGAGCCTAGCATTGGACAAAACTTCCAGTTTGGGACCAACCTTGGACTGTCTTTGGAACAGCTTCAAAACCTGCCACCGTTGGATCAATCAGCTTTGGACAAANAAAACCTGCCACCGTTGGATCAATCAGCTTTGGACAAACTTTGGACCAGCTCTGAACCAGCTTTGGACCAGCTTTGGACTCAGCGTTGGACATGTGTGCTCAGTGTGTACGCTGCTGTGTGTAAGCCTAGCATTGGACAAAACTTCCAGTCTGGGACCAACTTTGGACTGTCTTTGGAACAGCTTCAAAACCTGCCACCGTTGGATCAATCAGCTTTGGACCAGCTTTGGACCAGCTTTGGACTCAGCGTTGGACATGTGTGCTCAGTGTTGCATGCTGTTGTGTGGAAGCCTAGCATTGGACAAAACTTCCAGTTTGGGACCAACTTTGGACTGGCTTTAGAACAGCTTCAAAACCTGTCAGCATTGGATCAATCAGCTTTGGACAAACTTTGGACCAGCTCTGCACCAGCTTTGGACCAGCTTTGGACTAGCTTTGGAACAGCCTTAAAACCTGCCAGCATGAGATCAGCTTCAAACCAGCTTGGACAAACTTCGGACCAGTTAACCTCAGAGATTTGCACCAGCTTTATGCTTACCTTAGTAAGTTAATCCTCAGAACGGCATGCAGTACGGCTGTTCCTCAAAGTTCCCCTCGGGGAAGGCCGGGGAAGGCCGGGGAAGGGGAAGGGCGAAAGAGCGGGGGGGAAGGGGGAAGGGGGAAGGGGGAAGGGGGAGGGAGGAAGGAGAAAGGAGACAGGGGCGAGAGGAAGAGAGAAGAACTAATGTATGGATGACCCCCTTTACTGGCAGCACTCAGAGAGCTCTCCTTTAGTCACACTCTCTCTCTCCTTCCCTCTTGGTTGCATCACTAGCTATGGCAGTTCATCTCCATGTTTAGTACAGATGTTCAAAGAACAAAGCGCTGCTCTTATGCCCCCTCCCATCTCAATCTGCCATTGTCACACTCCACGATAAAGTCCACGTCCAGCCCATACCCCAACAGCGGCCTTCAAGATGACCCACCAACCAAGGACGCGGAGAGAGCGTCTAACATAGCCAAATGTAAGTATTTGTGGTCAGTTCCCTCCTTTCCTCTATCGTCACACCTCCACCTCCATAGCCGAGGCCCTTCCCCCACCTGCTACTGACCCTCCTCTTTAGCCTTCTTCATCACCCTCACCTCCTCCTTCCTCCACCCTGTGCTCTGCCTCAAGCTTTCTCACGGCATGACTGCTGGGTGAGTAGTGCCCGAGCTAATCATTCTACCGAGTCACATACTCTTGCCTCTCCGACTTCCAGTCCTTCCTACCCAGGTACTCCAGCCGCCTACCAGTGCACTACAGTCTTCCCCCGAATACAACGTACGGTCATTATAGCTGAATTTAGACTGAAAGATACACCAAATTCAGCTATAATGACCGTGCGTTGTATTCGGGGGAAGACTGTAGG